GGGGGGGGTGTACATGTTCCTGTACATATCTGTAAATATCCAGATGAGTGAGGTCAAAGTGTATTTTGAATATTCTCAATTTTGAATTTTGAAGTTGAGTTATAAAAAACAAAAAGATAAAAATCTACATGAAACATTCTGACTGTTTGAATGGATTTGTAAATTATTTCAGTTAAAACAACGATCTCATTGTGATTGTTTTCTAAGTGCCGAAATCAAATGATGTCTCTACAACTCATCAGTGTCAACCACTACCCATGATGCACTGCTTTAGTGTTGGACACCTACTGTTATGCGCCTCGGTACCAAACCTGGATCCCCGCCTCAGACGGATCGGACCCAAATTATCTGCTTTTTTCCACGTTTGTAAGATAAACTGATTTGCTTTTGTTCTTTTTTCTTTTGTTATTCTCTGTTTGATTCACTGTTTTTGTTTTTCAATGCATAGTTTATGTTTTTTTGACCTTACTTTTTAAAAGACGAATGAGAGAAAAAGGCTTTAGGCTGTGATCACACTGAGTTAGCAGAGAAATACATTTTCTTAGGAAAATTACTTGTTCAAATAGAAAAGATGATTCATTGATCAGACTTTTCCTGATTGATTACAGATTTTTGGTTGCTGATTCTTTTTAACACATAAAGATAAGAGGAAAACTTTTTGATAGAAAACGGTCAGAATAGTCCATTAAACTCCAATAAACTCCAAACACCAATAATTCCAGATTAACGTTTCCAGTTTATAGGGAAAAAAAACAAATGTTTCTGTTTCTGAATCAGCAAAATCTGATCATCTTCATATTCAATCATGTTAAACTGTGTTTGGATAAAAACAAAGAACTTGAGTTATCATAACTCATAGATCCAAAAATGAAGTTTTTATCTTTGTCTACGTCTCAGAGTTTTCTGAGTTCAGCAGCCTGACACTAAAGGAACATCTGGATGCCGGCGGCGCTGTTGGATCAGAACCGTTGGACAGACCTGCTTTGAGCAGAACAAATAATTAACCTTATGTTGTTTCCTGTGTTCTTTTCATCATGTTAGACCTTTAATGCTCAATAATAGAGAATCATGAAACCTTAGCTGCTTATCAGGTTGCTGCTGGCTCCAAACAGGGGTTAACAGAGTGATACTAAGCCTGGCGCATAGCACTGCTTTAGTTTGGTCTTTGGAAAAGTTTGGGGTGCCAATGGGAGACGGACATGATTCCCTGCCATCAATCAGCTGCACCTGAACTAATGATGCATTCAGAGTTTAGAAAAATCCTTTTAATTCATGTTGAATTTAGATCACTGAGTTTCTTGAAGGTTAAGTTATTGTTCACATCAAAATCAGCTTTCTTGAAGTGAAACCGCCGCAATTTAGCTGATTTTGTTTCTTGGTGTCTTAAGAAACTCCCTCATGCTTCTGTTTTTACAGCTGGTATGAACTGGGACCAGTAAGTCAGGGTTAGCCCAGTAAAAAAGTAGATGTATTTCTGATTGAATGAAGCTGGAGAACAAATCTAACCACCTTTCTCAGCAGAGGAGCAGCTCATCTCCATGATTCTGAGGCAGTCAGTGTTTTGCAGCCTAACAAGTCTTTTACCTTCTTTTAAAATTGTTTTATCAGTCTATCAAAATAAGAGCATTTTTTCAATCAGAAGGTTTTTGTCGGTTTTTGAGAAGCAGTGATGCAATCATTCTTATCGAGAAGGAGTAAAGCATCCTGAATGGGATCCATAATTATCATCATCATCATTCAACAGGTAAACAGGGAAAACCTCACAGCGCCTGACGATGGTTTTCCTCCTCAGAAAATCATAACGAGCCTTGAAAGCAAACTGTTCCAGACGAAACGTAAAGTCCCCAGTATGTTTCCTTTTTTTGCTTTCATAAGTGCGATTAATGTGCATTTATGGGCCTAATGAGTTCTGAATTCCTTTTTATTTGCCAGAGTGGGTTGTTTGGGAGCCTGCTGATCGCTCACAGAAGAGTTTTCAGGACATTGAGAGCCAGAAAGCAGCAGGAAGTGGCCCCACTAATGCGGAGAGAAGACATAAAGAGACTTTAACTTGCAGGAATAAATGGCCTTATTTCTGGAGATGGGACATGGAGTCTGACTCTACAGAAAAACAGATTTATACCACATGTCTAAAGGAAACACATTATGTCCTTTTAATACTGGGGATTTTATTTTTACTGCTTTTTTTCATTTAATGTTTGTCCTCTTCTCCATCTTGATGTGGTTAAAATGTAGATGGATTGCTGTAACAACAGGTTTTGTACTTAAGCTATTATGGTTTATAAGAAACTAACTAAAATCTTTTGGAATCCCATCAAAGCATCTTTTTACTCTTTTTGCTAGGATTTCTGTTTTATCAACAGAAAAGTATTCACGGCTACAAAAAAAAAACTTTGCATGACTTCAGTCAAAAAGAAAAATTATTTCTAAAATGCTGTGATTTAAACCTGGATGTCATCGTAAGAAAAAAAAAAGTCTGAGCAAATACAACATTAATAATATCTGAAGTAGTGAAAAGTAACGTTCTTCAAAGCTCCAATAATGGAGCGTTTTATTTTATATTATTATTAGACTTTGCGTCTTGGATGGACTCATAAAAGCAGCTTTTTGATTCCTTCCTGCTGCTGGAGGGTTAACCCTAACCCTGGAAGAGGATGGAGCAGCTTCACAGGTCAGAGCTAACAAATGTCAAAATTAAGACAGAAGAAAAATGGATTCAGCAATTTATTTAGAAATATTTCAACAAAGACAACAAGGTTGAGTAAAGCTACTGACGACAGCTCTGCTTTTCCAGAACAGATTTATAAAATAGTTCCTTTGCTCTTCTGCAGGAGTTCAAAGACGTCTAAAGAAATGAAAACGGCTCTTAAATGTAGATGAACGCCACCACAGGTGAGATGGAAGACGGAGCAACAGCAGGTTCTGCTGAAGATCCCACATATCTGCCTTCAACCTCCTGGAAAAACATTCAGACTATCATCAGCATCTCTCTGCAGCCTCAGACGGCAGCAACATGCTGCTTTACTCACTTTCTACTGAGACACAGAGAGAAGATCCAGTGATTCTCATTAAAAGACTAGTGCAGGTCTTATTAACCTTTAAATTATTCACAGCAGGTCCATCTTAACTGTAATGCTTTTAAACAAGCCTTATTTGATGTTGTTTTTGGACAGTGCAGCTTTAGCCCAACCTTTATAGCGCTTAGAGTTCAAATATCTGGGCCACACAGAAACACCTAGCTGACCTTTGAGAAACAATGAATTAGAAAAGAATAATTATCACTGATCAACAGCCTGAACAGAAGCACAGCGTTCAACCTTAAAGGAAAATATGTAAAAACTTTCAGCCAAAGGACTGAGCAGCAGGAGAATGACACAAACAGAAGAAAGACCATCATGGAGGAGAAAACCTTTTTCTGGAACAATTATCAAAGGAAGGAGGATCCCAAATGCAGCAGGAAGCTTCAGCCAAAAAGGGAAGAGTTGAGATGCTGCAATGGCTCAGTCAAAGTCCAGACCTAAGCTGGGCTCTGATTGGACCATCGGAGAGGTACGTCAATGGCGGCAAAGCTCAACAGAAAGAAGAGACACTGAAGGACAAGCGAACCCAATCTTCTGGAGAACAATCTGAAAGAGTAGCTGATGCTGCAGAGTGGCGTTTCAAACCATCCATCCATGGAGAGAAGATAGATTTTACAAATACTGCTCTGTTATTGGGTGAAATGATCTGTTGATTATCTGAGGTGGTATTCATCTAAATTTGAAGGTCTGACCGGATGATGGATTGTTGTGCCTGAAAATGAAAATGGAGGTAAAATTAAGTACCCAAGGAAAATGCTCGTTTGATACATGAATCTACTTCTTGGAGTTTCTAAAACTAAATAAATATAAATGTTTTACACATTTATTTGGATTCATGTGAAGTTTGGAAAACAAAGTGTCTTATAACCTTTTTCCTGGTAGTAGTAGAAACTAAAAGTCGAGTGAATTTAGCAAATCCATCAGCAGTTATTCAAATTGCTGGCTGGCTGGCTGGCTGGCTGGCTGGCTGGCTGGCTGGCTGGCTGGATGAATGGATGGATGGATGGATGGATGGATGGATGGATGGATGGATGGATGGATGGATGGATGGATGGATGGATGGATGGATGGAGGGAGGGATACTTTTTTTAGACTTAGACAACTTTTATTGTCAAACTTTTATTTAGTACAGCTCACAGACAATAAATGAATATTTCCATTCCATAAAGTGCAGCAGTGATCAAACGTAAATAGTGTGGGAGAAAAAACGGTCCAACAAATGCATTGATATGGAAGTTTAGAGCAGTAATATATATATGGTGCAAATCTGCAGTATTTTGGTTTAGTGTTATCAGTTTGATGAAGAATCTGACATGATTTAGAGTTTATCCAACAGTTCATCAGTGTGATGGCGGTGGGGAAG